GAAGCTGGGGAGGGTCTGTTCCTCAGGAACTGGAGTGGCAGGACAAAGAGTAAGGGGTTCAAACTGACAGAGGGGAAATTTAGGTTAGATATAGGGAAGGAATTCTTCCCTGGGAGGGTGGGGAGGCCCTGGCACAGGTTGCCCAGAGAAGCTGTGGCTGCTTCATCCCTGGAAGTGTCCAAGGCCAGATTGGAGCAACCTGGGCTAGTGGGAGATGTCTCTGCCCATGGCAAGGAGTGGCACTGGGTGATCTTTAAAGTCCCTTCCAACCCAAACCAGTCTGTGATTATTTCAGAGTTTGGGTGACCCCCCAGCACCCCCTTCTGCAGAGAGCTGTGAATAAATCAAACACCTCAACCCCGTGTGTGGATCAGCTTCTTGCACACTGGGTGAAAGAACCCAGATTTGGGACAACACCCCCTCCCTTCCTTTCCGTGAGCCTTTAATGATCTGTTAAGAGTTTTGCTCCTCTCTGCTGTTCCCGCAGCTCTCCCCACCCGGATTGCAGGTCCAGGGACCCAGTTGCTGGAGGTTTTTTGTGCCCCTCTCCCCCCCGCAGCTGCCGGCCCCGGGGCAGCTCCAGCCCCATGTGATGCGCTGGGTGTTTGCATCTGTTTCCGTTGCAAGCGCTCATTTGTCATGTAGATCTCTTGGCATTTTTTTAAAGGGTAGATTAATTTAGGGGAGCTCTCGGATCCAATTTCCCCCGGCAATGGCTCTATTAGGCTGTGCACAGCAGATACAGGCTCCCGTCCTCCTGCTGCTACTGATGGAATTTGATTCCGCGCTGCCAAATCTGCAGGGCTGCAAACACATTCCCACTCCTGATTAATGTGAGTAATTTCTGCTTGAAAGAAGGTTGAAATGAGCAGCCGAGGGGAAGCGAACGGTGAGGGTTCCCCCCAATCCCCCCCTCCCCCGGTGCTCGCTGCTGTTTGCATTTCCCAGCTCGGGAACGGGCGAGCAGATAAACAGACTCGCTGGCCCCGTTTCAGCGCGGCAGAAGGTGCGGGAGGAGGGGGGGGACACCACGGTGGGACCCTGCGGGGGTGGGCGGAGGGACGAGCCGGGGGACCCCCCGTCCCCGGGCCGGGAGGGGAAAGGACCCCCGGCCCCGCTATGCCCGGGCCGGTTTGGGGGGCGGGGGTGGCGGCATCGGGGGGTGGGACACGCAGAGAGTGAACGGGGGGGACACGGGAGGGACACGCGGGGGGCGCAAGGGGGGTACATGTGGCTTAAAAGGAGGATACACGGGGGGACACGCAGGGATTCACCGGGGGGTACTTGGGGGTACACAGGGACACTCGGGGGGTGACACGTGGGGTACACGGGGGGATTCGCCGGGGGGAACAGAGGGACACCCGGGGGGTGACACGTGGGGTCCACGCCGGGCTCACCGCGTGTGCACAGGAGGGTACACAGGGGGGGGACGTGGCGGGCACGGGGGGGGGGGTTTCACTGCGGGGGGGTGGCTGGTGAATGGAAATTTGAGGGAAAAGGAGGGTCCCGCCTGGGGTCCGTGGGGAGAGGCCCCCCCAGCCCGGCTGTCCCGTCCCTGTGTGCTGCCAGCCAGGGCTCACCCCCTGCCCCCAGCCTGGCGCCCGGAGTGACGCTGGGAGCGGGGTCACTCCGAGGGTCTCTCCATCCCTGTCCTTCCCTCCTTCCCCACCCAAGCTCTCCAAGTCTCCAAGGGACTCCCTGTTTCCCTGCCGAGCACCCACACTGTGATTCCCTCAGCCCCGTCCCCCGGCCCCGGGCTGCTGTGGGAGCCGAGATGCCTGCACGGCTCTCCGAGTGGTTTTGGAGAGGCAGAACCAGTTGCCCCGCGGGGACACGGTGAGTACCCCCCGCCTCAGCATCCCTGTCCTACCCCACATCAGGGTCTTTGGAGGACCAGGAATAACGGGAGCCCCATCCCCTGTGTCCTCTCCCTCAGGAGCAGCGCTGGCTTTGCCTCTCCTTTTCAATTTATTTTTATAAGGAAGGAGAGAGAGAGAAAGAGAGAGAGAGAGAGAGAGAGTCACATCCTAATCTGGCAAAATGTCAGGGAGTGATTCAGAGAAGAGGCGAGCGGCGGAGAGAGGCAGCCCACACAGGAGACTTGTTTCTGATTTCCAAATGTCAGCATGTCCTTTAATTAAATGCTGATTAACAGGGGACGTGCTCCCTTGTGCCGGAGCCGGGGCTGCGAACGCCGGCTCCACAGAGAGCCCTGCGGCCGCTCCCACCCCCGGGATGAGCCGCCCGGCACGACGGGCAGGCGGGAGAGCCGCGGGAGCCGAGCCGGGAGCAGCCTCATCCCGTGCTTTGCACCACGCCGAGGGCACCCAAAGGCGCCGGTTCAGCTGCTGCTGAAGCCTCTTGCGCCCAGGTCCCCGTTCCTGGCGCAGCCTCCGAGCTGGGATTGCACCTGAGCTTTTCGTCTCCGTGTGGAAGTTGCGCCGGATCTAATGGAGTGAATCTGGATGCAAACCCCCACGTGGATGCTCTTACTTTAGTTCGAGCAGCTCTTTTCCTCCTCGGCTCTGCCTGCTCTCTGCACACTTAAGCCAAGCTGCAAAAATGCTCTTGGATTTGGGATCTCCGCAAACAACTTGTGTGGGGTGTCCCCAAGCGCTGTCAGCCACAATGCTCCTCTTTGTCCTCTCGAGCTGCCTTGGCTTTGAAGTCAGTGGGAGGGTTATCCTTGAGGGGAAGGAGGGCTGGGCTGTGCTCTGGGCTGTGTAGGCCCTGGGGGGGGGGGGTTGGCAAACCCTCTCTGACCCTGGAAGTGATGAGCAGCTCCCTAAAGAAACAGCCCCCAAGCCCCGGGGCTGACAGAGGTGGGATTTGGGATGGACCAGGTGAGTTTGGGCAGCACTGTGCCCCACTGTGTGTACCCACAGCCATTCCTGGCTGCTTTGCACAGGCCCTTGCTAAGTGTGGGCCCTCCTGGTGAACTCTGTGCCCTGGGATGGGTGGTTCCCTAAGCCTGGTTCTAATCAGCCCTTCAGGACGGTTCAGGCTGGTTTGGGGCAGCCCCACACAGGAGCAGCGGGTTTATGAGGTGACAGGGGAACACTCTGCTCTGCCCTGAACACATCTGGCTGACCATAAAAGTGTTCCTGAGAGTCCAAGAGCTCTCCAGACTGCACAGAAACTTTTACCTTGGGCAGCCTCCCTCCGAGACCTGTGTCACACTGTGACAGAACCACGGAGGTGACAGGGCTGAAGTCACACGCCAGACATCCCTAAACCTGAAATAGTCTATAATTAAAAACAAGCTTTGCAGAGAGGAAAAGCTTTGAGAGGAAAAGCTTTCCATGCTTATGCTCCCATCTCCACATCCCTCCCAGCACCTGCAAAAGGTCTTTCCTCTTTTTCGGTGTCACCTCCAGAGCTGTGACCTTGGATGACCAGTGGCTCTGGGTATCCCATCTCCCTGTTCCCTGTTCCCTGTGCAGCTCACAGTGGCTCTGGGTATCCCATCTCCCTGTTCCTTGTGCAGCTCCCAGGGGCTTTGGGTGTCCCATCTCCCTGTTCCCAGTGCCATGCGCAGCTCCCAGGGGCTTTGGGTGTCCCATCTCCCTGCTCCCCGTGCCATGTGCAGCTCACAGTGGCTCTGGGTGCCCCGTCTCCCCGTGCCCTGTCAATGTGCAGCTCACAGCAACAAGTGTTCCCTCTCCAGAGTCCCACAGCGACGCTGCCTATTCCCAAGCGCCACCTGATGGCATCACCGCCAGGAAGGATTTGTTCGACAATGTTTATACCGGCACAGACGCAAGAATCACCTCCGACAGCAGGGAGGGTGGAAATGGGAAACGGGGCCGCTGAGAGCAGCCCTGGCTCAGGACTCTGCCCTGTGTCCATCCCCGGGGTGGGGCAGAGCAAAGCTGAGCTCAGGGGATGCACACCACGGCTCCCCTCTTCTTCTCAAGCCCATCAAAGTTCTTCCAAGCTACCCAGGAGGCAGGGAGATCCTGCTAGCTCTGGCTGGAGGATCCCCACAACTCCCCCCTTTTTAATTCTCCTGGATGTGCCTGAGAAAACAGCTCTGTGTTTATAAACGTGAGAAGGAATCGCACAGAAATCCCGGGAGCAGCAAGTCCCGACACCTCCCACACGGTAACGCGAGAGAAGCCACTTTCCTCTGCCACCAGAGGAGGGGCTTTGTCACACCAGTGTCACCCCCACCTCCCTCTGCCTCCCCAGAGGTGCCACCCAGACGTGTGGGGGGATTCTCTGTCTGCAACAGCCACGCAGAGGTCGGACACACTCCAGCCAAAGGAGAGGGTCTCCCCCGAATCAGCAAACACAACCAGGGCTCACACAACCAGCAACAGTGCCTGGAAGAGACATCCTTGGGCCAGGCCTCCCCCTCCCCTCTCCCCAGACCAGGGCAGGGGACATGGGTGAGATTAACGCAGGGCTGGGTCAGGGTCGCCTTTGAGCACAAAGCCCTTGGAGAGGGGAGCTTAACTCTGCCACGGCCCTGCTCCACCGCTCCCCCCTGCCCTCCCCTCCCTCCGCTGGGAGCGCCGGGCTCTGACACTTGTCAGGGAAAAGCGGCCGTTCGGGAGAGCCCCCGGCTGCCTCCCGTGAGCCGGGCAGGGCCGTGCCGGCTCCCCAGGGATGGTTCTTGCCAGCCGGGATCCCCGCTCAGCCTCTGGCACGAGCCAACCTGCCCCTGCTCCGGCTCCCGAGCCCACCCACCCCGCGGGGACCACCCTGTCCCCAGGTCCCGCTTAAACCTCCGCTCCCGGTTTTAGCGGGGAGCGCCAGGACTCCCAGGGCGGAGGTACCGGGATGGAGAGGCTGCGGCGAAGCGTTTGTGCTGGGAGGGATGGGGAGAGGACGCAGGGGGAGGGGAGGTGGCGGTGGTGGGAACGGGGCGGGGGGGGAGATGAATCATTTCGAGCGAGCCAGATTTCCATATTCCCCCTGCTGGAAAATTAAAGTCTGCTCCGAGTTTGCATCCCAAATGTGATTGCTTTCGGATCCCTGCCTTGGAAAGCACGTACCTCTCTCAGCAGCCGGCCCTGCCGGGATCAGTGTCCATGCTGTCTACCTGTCAGCAGGCTCTTCCTTCTGTTCACGCTGAGCATCATATTTGCTTTGAACACCGAGGTAGTTAAAAGCTGCAACTTAAGGACCCGGGGAGGGGGGTGGAGGTGGACGGACTCACTGAGCATGAAAAGCAGCCATTGGCTCTGCCTCGCCGGCTGCTCTGCCACTGGGCCGGGCTGAACATGTGTCATCCTTCCCCTCGGCTCCCCTCATTTCCCCGGCGCTGTCCTTGCCCGGGAGGGCGGGGGCAGGAGGTGCCGGACCCCCCTCCCTCCCTCCCTCCCGGCCCGGAGCGCACCCGCCCCGGGCAGATGCGGACGCCGCTCCCGACGCTCCGCTCCCTCCCCGGGGCCGCGCGGCATATGGTGCCTGATTTTTTAATTTCCTCGGGACGGCGGCTCGTATGGCGACTGGCAGGTTTCTCACCGCCTTTTGATTAACCCCCGGTAGGTCCCGACGTGCCAACTGGCCGTATGGGCTGAACAAAGCGCTTCCCGATCCCGCCGCTCCCGACTTCCTTCTCATTAACGGGGAGCGATCTTCGCTTGAGCCCCGGCCAGGAGAGCAGGGGCCGTGTCCTGCCTGCCTTTAAAGATGCCTCTCCCCGCGTTGTGTTCCCGGGAAAAGGAAGCCGGCTATAAGCCTTCTTCAAACCCTGCCTACCTGTTACCTGTCGGCCCCGTGCAGGATCGATCTTGCCGGGTGAAAGCCGAATGTCTAAAGCGGTGGCAGCGGGAGAATCCAGCGTTTGTGCGGGGCTGCTCTCCCAGGCTCTCTGCAAACACCGGTGGAGCCGCCGAGTTTCACTCAAGTCCCGCTGGGAAAGCTCCCCCTGCAACCAAAACCACTTTTCTTGCAAAATTTGAGGTCCTTTATAACAGGAGAAATGAGTCCAGCCCTGTGTGATTACAAGGAGCCCCGCTGTGTCTCTTGGGTACCACCATTTCCAAGCACACGTATTGTGCTTTGCAGGTTTGCTCACTCTGCTGCATTAATTCCCGATTCCTCCCGGGAATGGCTTTCACTCCGCAGACTGTTCAAGCTGAGGCTGGGTCAGGGATTGTGTGAGCACAAATGGGACACGAGCAGCCTGGTTGTGTCTTCTGAAAGGTTTCTGCCGTGTGTGTGGTGTTGGCTGTGACAGCAGGGATGTCACTTCTGTGCAGAGTCTCCACAGGATCAGGGATGGGGAGCCCCTTTCCTGGCTGTGGGGAAGCAGCTGCCACCTCAGTGAGGGTGTGAGGGCACTTCCCATCTCTGATCCCGCTCTGCCACCCCACTGCAGCACTGCCATGGCACTCTGCTCCTCTCCCTGGCATTAGAGGGTGTGTTTTGCACAAATGGATTTGCCATCTTCGTGGACTTTGTTTTTTAATAAAAGCAAAAACTACTAAAAACATCATCACTTTACACCACCACTGCTACAAAACTAAGCTCAGCAAACACCCACTCACCTCTCTTTGGGCAGGGGAGATCCTTAGGGTGGCAGAGAATTCCTTCTATGTGTTTTATTCCTCAGTAGACCCCGAGGCTGCAAGAGCATCCCATTCTCTGTGTGGGAACTGAGGACTTTGCCATTTGTTTGATGCACAGGAGGAAGATTTCGGCAGCACCTCTGGACCTGGGGCACTGCTGGCTGGAGTTAAACACCTTGGTGACCTGGCAAAGCCCCAGGAACTTGGAGAACTGCTGACAAACAGGGATTTCTGGTGCTGCTGCCCAGGGGCAGGTCACCCCAGCATGTGGATGAGCAGGGTGGTGAGTTCCTGCAAGGCTGGAGTGTGTGGGGGGGGGGGGGAAATGTGATGTTCACAGGATCAGGGATGTGGTCAGGCTGTGTTTGCTGCTGGGCAGGCACAGGTGAGCAGAACATCCCTTCCTGCAGGGGGTTCACAGCCTTGCAAGCTGCAGGACAGCTCAGCTGCAGTTAATATTGAGACTGAAAACTGTTTGGAAAAGAGGGGTTACATCCTCTAAAATACACATTCTGAGCTGGATTTCTACAGCACTTGCCGAGCTCCACGGAGGGAAGAAAGGAGGGACAGTTAATCCATCCTTGGGGATGTTTCAGCCGCCCTAAATCCCAGTGTTCTCACAAAGGCCCACCTGGTTCCTGTAGCAGCATGTGGGGAAAGAAAGCTCTGCCAGGTTTTTAAGTGGTTTCTCCAAAATCCACCTGCCAGCAGGGCAGGAGGCTGTTTGTGGAGAAACGAGACGTCGCCTGAGAATTGCAAGAGAGGGATCATTTGTCTCAGAAACGTTTAATGTGAAGTGTAACAGTTGTGGCCTGGGAGAAAACTGCAAGTGTTTCATCCTGATCCTGCACAAACCCCAGCCAGAACAACTTTAATGGCTTTAAGCTGAAGGAAGGGAGGTTCAGGTGAGATATTGGGAAGGAATTCTTCCCTGGGAGCGTGGGGAGGCTCTGGCACAGGTTGCCCAGAGAAGCTGTGGCTGCCCCATCCCTGGGAGTGTCCAAGGCCAGGTTGGAGCAACCTGGGACAGTGGAACCATGACAGGGGGTGGCACTGGGTGATCTCCAAGGTCTCTTCCAACCCAAACTATTTGAGGATTCTGTGATTCTATGAACACCTCTATGTCCTAGCAGGAGATCTTTGTGAAAGCTGATGTTTTTTTCCTGGAGAATTGGAGATCAGGGATCTCCCAGGATGCAGCAGAAGTGCCTTTCCCAGCGTTTCAGACTGTGCTGGTGGCAGAAGCGGGACAGGGACCCCCACAGGGCTGTGATCCCCCTCCCTGCAGCACTTCCCAGCCAGGGGAGGCTGCCTGGTGCAGTGACAAGGTGCCTGGTGCTTCCCACCGTGCACTCAAGGCCGTTCCACTCCTTCCCCACCCCACCTGCCTGCACAGGCAGCGTTTGGAGGGGACCCAGGAGTGGCGGTGCTGTCCCCCGGCAGAACTGGTTCGGCAGCTCCGGCACCCGGGGCTGAGCTCTGCAGGCGCTCGTGTGAGCACACGCGGGCTGGGAGCACTGGGAGGACTGGGTTTGAACAGACCACGGGGTGCTTTAACTCCTCCTCAGCCCCGGGGACAGCCCGTGCTTATCCCCCGGGATGCGCCCGTGCCCGTCCCTGGATGCAGCAGCACCCGGGCAGTGCCAGGGCTGAGCAGAGGGACGTCCCAGGCACCAGAGCGAGCAGAGAGCACGGCCCGGGTTCTGCGTCTCTCCGGGCTTCAGGGGAGCAACCCGGCGTTTCCCAGGCAGTCGTTTCTCCAGAGGACCACGAGGTGGAAGCATTTTCCAAAAACTCCCGCGATCGCCTCGGAATCCGGGGACAGCCTGCCTGTGCCTGGAGCAGGGGGACAGGACAGCCAAGGAGCTGAGGGCTGGAGAAAAGAGCCAGGAAGGGATCAAAGAGGGACACGGGGCACAAGGGGAAAAGCCCCTTCTCCAGGAAAAGGCTCCTGCAATTATCCATGATGCTGACTGCCCCCTACCCAGGGAAAAATGCCTTGTATCCTGCTCCCCAGAGCAGGACTGCAGGAGCACAGCCTGCCCAGGGCCATGCTCTGGGCCCCCCAGGCCTGCTCCATGCAGGGGGGCTGCCTGGTGTCACTTGTGTCACTTCTGGACCCCAGATGATGTGCCCAAACATCCCAGAGAGACCATAAACCCCTGGAATATCCTGCATTGGAAAGAGCCCACAAGGATCATCAAGTCCAACTCCCGGACACCCCAAAATCCCCCCTGTCCCTGAGAGCATTGTCCAAACCCTCCTGGAGCTCTGGCAGCCTTGGGGACGTGCCCACTGCTCTGGGGACCCTGGTCAGTGCCCGACCACCCTCTGGGGGAAGAACCTCTTCCTGAGATCCAACCTGACCCTCCTCTGGCACGACTCCAAATGACTGGGCTCCTCTTTTTCCTCCTCTAAACAGAACTCCTGGACACTTGGATTATGTGCAGCCCTTCACAGGCGGCCCAACCCAGATGTCCAGGTGCCTGTCCTGGACCACGTCCTTCTGCTCACAGCCAGCCAGACCAACCACAGCCCCGGTCTGTGAGCCTGGCAGGACCTGCCTGTGCCTGCCTGGGAGCACCTGTGCTTCCTGTGGGCTGGGCAGTGCCAGGTGACAGCCAGGAGCAGGGTTTGCCCCTTGGCACAGGGTCAGCCCTCATTCCTCACACTCGGGGCGGTGCTGAGTCACGGCTGATCAGCTGTGCCTGCTCCATCCCGGGGAGCTCACCCTGCTCCACCCTGCCCAGCTGGGCAGGGAGCACTGGCACACTGCTGGATCCAGGCTCCTGCCAGCCTGGAAGGTGTTCCATCCCGTGGGAGATGCCAACTGGGGCTTTCCCAGCAGGGTCCGGCACAAAGCAGGATGGGGACAGAGCCCCTGGAAAATCATTCCTTCAGGCCACCAGGCATGGGGAGGGTGCTCTGCCCTCCTGCAAAACCTCAGTGCCTGTGCTGGAAGCACACATTTCCCTGGAATATTTCATAAGGAGAGGATAAAGGACTTGGCAGCAGTGACACCAAGATTCACCTAAGTTTTGGAGGGGTCCCAGGCAGTGCTCTGGGAACACATTCCCACCGCCCTTGGATGAGCCCCATCACCTCTTCTCTGTGTGTGACACCTGGCTTGGACATTTCCTTGTTAGCTGCTCGTGTGAAAGGGCTAAAAATATGAAAGCCCAAGGAGGAGATCATCTGTACAGGCAGATAAATGGGGACTGCACTCCTGGGACAGGTGACCCCCCAGTCAGGAGGTGATGGGTTCCCAGATGTTTGGGGTGGGGGGTTACAAGCAGCACCAGCTTCCAGGCAGGACCCACATTCCTTGGCTGGCTCTGCTCCATCCCCAGCTCCCGAGCAGGCCCAGCATCCCCGTGTGTGATGTGCAGGGCCCAGCTCAGTTGCAGCAGTGCCTTGACATTTGGCCTTCCCTTGTGTGTGTTTAGTAAGTAAACAGCTATAAATAAGTTGGTTATACCCCAGGGGCTTCTGAGGAGCTCTAAACCCAGCAAGTGAAGGCTGTGTGCTGGGCAACACAACTGGTATTTTCCTCTTGCTCTCTGTAGTTTTGTGGACTTGATTCCCGACTGGCAGCAGCATGAACACAAGGAGAACCAGCCCCAGCATCTGCAAATGCAGACCTCTTCTGTGGTGCTAATTGATTAAATCTGTGAGACAACAAGAGAGCAGATTTATCCAGAACAGTCCTGCCTTAAACCTGTATTTCAATTTATGTTGTTTTTTTTTTTCCTGGAACTGCCTTACTTAGTCAAAAATAGTGGCATCAGTGGCTGGGCTGCAGG